TAGTCAAAGAGAATGTAGGACATTCTAGAGGAAAAGAACATGAAGCACGAAAGCTCAAAAATTTATGTGTGTTTGATATATTCACATTACCATGAGAAGGCTATTTAAGTCTAATGTCTTTCTGTTGCCACTGCTGAAAATCTGTTTTGACTAACAACCTCTGAAAAATCTGGGCAATATTTATTTTAAAACATTTTTCCAGTTTTATTTAGATATACTTGATAAATAACATATGAAAGTGTAGAACATAATTATTTGGCACATGTATGTATTGTGAAATGATTACCAGAGTAAGTTTAGTTGACATCCATCACCTTGTATATGTTTTGTCTTTAATATTTACTTTTCTACCCCTTCAGACATGGAAACATCTTAATTAAATATTTTTAATTTGTGAAGATTGCTTGTGTTTTCTAGAAACTTTGCCTAATGACTATATTTTTGTACCACTGTGTGCTTTTTCAGGCACCTGCCTATCATTTTGCATTGTATTTAATTGACTTCCAGCAAAAAGCTCTTTAGATAATCTGAATCAATGTTGCTTTAGTTCTTCTGTTGTGACTGGGATCCTTTTAAATAATATTTCAAGAATTATCTTCACTGGTAGGTTTGGTGTACCACTGAGGTTGGGGTTGAGAGAAAACAAACTTCTAGTATCTTGCCTTTGAATGAACTAATGCTAACTCTGTTCCCATATGCTCTGCTTGTTGTGATGTTCATTTGCTCAGTCATGTTATACAGTGGTTGTTTTCATAAGAAAGAACAAAAGAAGTAATCTCCTTTATGTTATTTTTTTAAAAATTAAAACTAACCAGCCTTCTTAAAATTTTTCATAATTCTATGCATATTATAGCATTCAGGCAAAACTTTTATTTCATTGCTTTCATAGGGATCAGTGTTTCTTGAAGTGGGATGCATCAGAATGAAAGGACCTATACATTAGAATCACTTGGGGTATTTATCAAACACCATATTCCTGGGCCCCTCCATTGGGGGTGTTGAGGGAGGTGAGGGAATCTGCATTTTAACATATTTGCTAGGGAATTCTAAATATTGAAGTTTGAGAATCATTGCATTAGGGAAATGCTGTCTCGCATCTCTCCATGGCTATGCTGCTGTGACATGCATCAAGACACAACAGATATCATCGCTGGGCATCTTTCCTCAAACTGCTATTTCATAGGACCTGTTTCATTTTTAGGAAATTACATAATAAGTTGAGCTTTTTTTTCCATTAAGAAAACTTACTTAAATATTGCCTACCCTCTTAAAAAGAACCTTAGAGATGCTTTGTCAAGTTTCTTTTTCTAATTTGGTATTACTGCCTTTTACCCAGCAGTACCCTCTTCGTTGTAAGTGTTTGGACTTAAGTGCCCTTTTACACAGATCAATTGCCTGTAGGCTTCCATTCATGAGAGGCCATTATTTGTTAAGTTTTAGAAAGTTAAAAAGTGAGGCCGGAAATGGTAAAATTTGCACATTTCCCTTATTCCTAAGAATGGTATAAGGGGACTTAATGACTTACACCATTGACGATTTTTTTTTTAAAGATTTTTATTTATTTATTTGACAGAGAGATCACAAGCAGGCAGAGAGGCAGGCAGAGAGAGAGAGGAGGAAGCAGGCTCCCCGCTGAGCAGAGAGCCCGATGCGGGGTTCATCCCAGGACCCTGGGATCATGACCTGAGCTGAAGGCAGAGGCTTTAACCCACTGAGCCACCCAGGCACAAAAAAGTGTGTTCTTGGAGGTTCCAATGGCTTTAAAAATGAATGCACCAAAAAAATGAAAGGGAGTCTTTTTTTTAAGATTTTATTTATTTATTTGACAGACAGAGATCACAAGTAGGCAGAGAAGCAGGCAGAGAGAGAGAGAGGAGGAAGCAGGCTCCCCGCTGAGCAGAGAGCCCGA